GTGACTCGCTGACGCAACAGTATTATCGACTATTTACAAACATTATCTATAGGGGCAAAGAAATTAGATTAAAAACCTTTATTTTTTTATTATATTTTTAAATTTTATTTTGTATAAACATCCTATTTATCAAGTGGTTTATTATAAATTCATTTTTTGGTATAAGTTGCTTTAAAACAAATTAAGTGAATAGGAGGACTGTGTTATATTTAAAACAGAAAACATTTGTTTTATAGATAGACATTAGTTGATTAATAGTTCAAGGTCAGAATTACCATTACAAAGAATGGTGAATCCTGAGTGAGTTATTGGATGTCCAGTTTCATGTCTGTGGTTCCAGATCACCGAATTGGGTGGACTTAAAAGGATTGTTACATCTCTGATCGTTTGTTGATTTCCCGTATAATTTCTTTCCGAAGAACTTCAGCAATACAAGTCCTTTCTTAAATAAAACTAGTTTATTCTTTCTCAATACAACTTTGCAATACACTTAATTTCCACAGTCACTTTAACTTAAACACACGCTATAATTCATAACGATTCACGCACTTTACCTACGGTCACTACCGCGCTTGATTCGATTGTCCGTCTCTGCCTCTGCCTGTCTGCAATTCTCTATGCCGTCACTTCTTGCCAGTCTTATATATACAAAATAGAGGGCGTCTGGCAAACACTCGAGCCTTCAAGAACCTTCTCGATACTCATTACGTGTTACCAGAGTCACGTGACTTCCGCTGTCGTAACACTGCCCCTTCCTTAGTATTGTTCGTCCCGAACAATAGCCGCTTAAATTAAACCAATAGATAATTAACAATAACTTATTTAAATATACAGAATTTACAAATACAAAATTAAAATTCAACAGTCTCTCAATTTTACGGACATATCTTCTTCCATACTGGTCTCCGTCTCGTTGGCTTCTGCATCACGCGAGGTTCATCTGCTCCATCAGAAATTGTCCTATTATCGTTAATAGTCACATCAGTGGTAATAACTTAATGAAGGACTTCTCTATTTCCCCTCTCAAAACCGGGCAGAATTTCTTCTTCGACAGTGGCTTTTTCATGTGGCATATCTTCAGCAGCATCTTTTGTTCCATTATTCACTTCGTCCCCACTGAAATGTTCTGGACTGTGATAATGCCAAAGCGTGTTGGCATGCACTACCTTTGGCTTGCCTTGCTGACCACATTTTATTCGGAAAGTCGCGTCTGAGAGACGATCCATTATGTCATATGGGCCTTCCCATGTAGAAGACAACTTAGGAG